GCCACATCATTAAAACGGGGTGTGAGGGAGGCCCTCACGTGTGTGTGTGAGCTGTAGTAAACTATGAACGTTTTTAACATGTTGAGGTGATTACTGTTCCCGGGATAAAGACATTATTAAAGGGGAGCATCAGTCATTGGAGAAGTTTATTTTTTAACATCGTAGATTCCTCGTGTGGACGGTGGCCCGACCCGTGCCAACACGCTGTAACGTCCCAAAGCACTTCTATTTGGAGAATCATGCTGCATTTAACTTGACCAACTCAACAACACATTCGCAGCATTTACGAAGCGCTGCATAAATGAAACGTTGCAAATACAAAATGATGGAAATGTAAAAACGCAAGAAGCTCAAAACAAAATGGAAATGGGGACACTGAAAAGTGATGCACACAGCTGGGACCGTAGCGCTTGTTGGCGTTCGGAGATTGTTGGCACTGTTAGTCTGTTAGCTAAGTTAGCTAGCTAGCTTACAGCAGATCTGCAATAACGTCAGAAAGAATCATACGATAACTCTGATAAAATAAGCCAATAAACATCAACAAGCGCTCCCAGCTGTTTGCATCACTTTTTAGTGTCCCCGTTTCCGCATATTTTGTCAAGATGGTGAAGAAGATTCTTCCTTTGCATGTGTTTGGGCATACAGTGTTTTTATATTTGGATCGTTATGGAAACTGCAGCGTGTTTCCGAATGGAAGTGTCGTCACGTGTTGGCCCCTGTCGGCCACCGTACCTGTCTCATCGCTGAATAAATCATATTTCATTTCTGAAACTTTTCCCGCAGCAAGTAAGATGTTGCCATGGTGTCAGCAATTGCTGTCATAATAATCAACAGAAGACAATAAACCAGTGTGTTTGCTACAGTTGTACCACAGAGCTAATGGACAGCTGGGTTCAAATGACAGCATCCTCAGCGGGCTGGCTTTAATAGCAGCCTAACCACTACAGAGGCCTGCGCAGACGTCATGCTGTCAGCGTGGGAAGATGCCAGAAAATGCTGAGCAGGAAGGACACTTTTCCCAATTTGAGGCCTTCAGGGAGCAAACGGAGGAGTGGAGGGCATCATCAATTGGAGCAGGAGAAGGAGATGCATTAACTGTAGGGAAACACCCTGAATACGGTGGCATTTAAAACCACTGAGTTACACATTTGTGTTGGCCTGCCAATTTGTGGCTTCCTTTGGTAACATGGTCCACTGCTTTTTCTTTTTAGATAGAAGAGGCAGTATATGAATGAAATGAAAAACGGCTGGCCGTGGAGATAATTAGGAAACTATTCAAACCTTCACCCGATTTTCTCACATATCACTGCAACAGAAAAGAGAGAAATGTCTGCAACAGCTGTCAATCAAACCTCCGTTCCTATTAATGAAAAACAGAAAGAGATATTTTTCTTGAGTCGATCTCTTTAGGGACAAATTGTGGGATCTAAAAATAGATCTTGGATAAACAGTCATTTTTTCCTGCTCACGCTTACAGACAATATTTACACCCCAGTAGTGGAAAGGCTCGTCCATCCTCTTGCTTCTGGCAGAGGATGGGAGGCTCCATCTGAGACTGCCAAGGCACACNAAATGTACGCTCTCATTCAGTGCAACGGCCACGGCATTCGATCAAGGATGTAGAATACCTTGGTTGAAGGATATTCTACCCAGAGACCCAGAACAAGGATCTTGTTCTGGGTCTCTGGGTAGAATATCCTTCAACCAAGGTATTCTACATCCTTGATCGAATGCCGTGGCCGTTGCACTGAATGAGAGCGTACATTTGGACTGACAGTTTGATCAACCAATCATATATTGATTTGTAGCCAATGGGCGTGTTCTTTCAGAGTTTCCCTCGGTTCCAGGGTGCTCTAGAAGGCCCGCTAGTTAACTGGCTCGAGACAGAGAACCTAGATGAATGAGACGAAGGAATTCAGGCCGTTTTATTGTTTTTAACGTTGAAATGGCAAGTGCAACAGGTGAAGATGAAGTTGTTGCGGAATTGTTGTGAGTACCCTTTTCAAGACGACAATTCAATGAAAAGACGGACATTATGACACAGGGGGGGGGGTGTGTCTAAGGTCCAGTTGTGATAGACACGGTTCGCCACTGGTTTCTTATGACCGAAGGAAGCTCAGTGTTGTGTTTGAAGTTGTTTGCTAGTTCTCTAGAAAGCTGGAACACCACAGGCCAAGCACCCAACCAGTCCCAAACAGGCATGTTGTTTAAAACGAGCAGTGTAATGATAATAAAGGGGGTGCCGAAAGACTGTGGTTTCTTTCTGGAGTACAAACAGGTGCAAGATGTCTTCACTCACGTAAGCTGCAGTCGGCTCCAATGAAGCCAGCCGGGCAGTAGCAGGTCCCAGTCCGGAAGTCACAGCGACCGCCACTGGTGCAGCTGCATCTGGACTTGCAGTTAGGCCCAAAAGTACCTGCTCGACATCCTGGAGACAAAACAGGGAGGACATTTTAATTAGATGTCGTATCAGAATCAGCCAATCAAAAGGTTTATTAATAATACATAGTATTTTTAATAGCGCTTTCCCAGGTGCTCAAAGACGCTTTACATTACATGTTACTGAACACTTTTATCCAAAGTGACTTGAGGTTTACACATACAAGGAGTTCGCTTTGGGGTATATGGGTTTATATTAAAACACTCTTAGAGGAATTCAGTCGTAAAAAAATAACATGTTTACAAGAAATACAAACAAGAAATTAAGTATAACAAGGACAATAACGACAAAATATTCTGTGCAGTATATCAGTAAATCAGAATTTGAACTGGAAGTTATGTTATTTCTGTGCAAAATATAGCAGGATCATGTGTTTTCAATCTTTGACTTCAATGGAAATCTACAAATTGGGCCAAATGTTTACCCTTCTCCCACATTCCTCCAACCAAATTCTCATAAGGAATATTAGCGCATGCCTCATACTCGTCCACTCTGACAGCAGGAAATCATCAGTGTTCTTACGTAGCTCGCAGCGGGCCCCGTAGTATCCGGGTAAGCAGCTGCATTTCCCCGTCACAGGATGGCACTGCTCCTGGTCTCCTGAACACCGGCACAGCTGACTGCAGTTCATCCCGAACACGCCAGCAGGACAGGCTGAGAGCACGCATGCAGAAATATGTTATATACTATATATACAACAGTTGGAGTTTTTTTTCAAATTCATTTAGACAGTAGTGGGCAAATAAAACTGTGATCAAAGTGTGAATGGTAGGTCTTTGAATTGTTCTGGGACAAAGATGCAAGATTTCAGTTACAATAGTTTGTGAGAACAAAAACACCATATGATCAATACAATCTGACGATACGATAAGAAATGTGAGGATATGGTAAAGTAAGGAACGATATGATACGTACGATACCAAACGATAAGATATATATGACATGGTACAATGCAGAACCATAGGATAGCATACAATACCATACCATGTGATATATGTTAAGAAACAATTACACATATACATTACATTACTCCTTGTTTTGCACTTCTGGTTGGAGGCTAAATGTCTAAGTACTTTGTGCAATGACAATGAAGTTGAATCTATTCTTATCTCATCGATTTAGGATTAAAGTCCTGGACTCATTGACTGGAGTGCTTCAATCTAAACTTAATACATAATCGTGGGAACCTGTATCTCTAATGTAATGGTAATAATTCATACTCCCTGTTCAGGACCTAAATAAAGACAAAAACAAATTGTCTCTAGATAACTCTGTGAAGTAGTTTCTGGTAACTAAACCCAAAAACTTTCCCCAGTGTCCGAACCCCGTCGGACGCAGAGGGACATTCTTTCACACACCCTTTCTGCATACATACGTAAACGCTTATAACGAATGGAGTCCGCGGACAATCAGTCATAGCCAACAAGATGAATCTGTGAACCGAGCATGTTTTGGGGTGAGACCGCAGCACTCAGTCAGGCAGCAGCAGGCAGCGCGGGGGGACAGATAAGAAAGGACTCCAGACTAAAGAGGCAATTACGGGGCTGTCATTATGCATGTCTGCCTTCCAAAGGCCCTTATCCGCCGCCGAGGAGACAAAAACAATGCCTTCTGTTTTACTTGGCAACTGGTGTGTAACATTTATCAGATGTCTGGGGAGTGTGTGAGGAGAGGAAAGGAGCTGAGGTGGTGAGGGAGGGGCGGTAGAAGGAGTGTTGAGAAGTGAAGCTGCTTGTATATACGGTCTAAATAATGAACATTAGCATAAAGCCCTGTGACAGTGAGGGTTTAGTGCCGGTGTGTAGAGTGCATTTCCTGGAATGGACTAAATGGTAATCTTTCCCAGGAGGACCAGGGGAGTAAAAAAAAAAAAAGACATTTTAATCAGTATTAACAGAATGATTCTTGTTGATCACTTCAGTCCCATGATGCCTTTCCTCCTGATGGGAGTGGTGTGTTGCAGTGACAGTGTTTCTATCAACAAGGCACATATGTCAGCTTTTAGATGCATGACAGTGATATTAGCCATGTGCCAAGGCTTTCTCAGTAACCAGATATACACGAGGGACATCAGTGAGATACCACATGCAGGAGCCAGAACACTTCTGCTTATTATTTCTGTTATTATCTTTATTTGTTTAGATTGCACACGTTTGTATTTGGTTATCACATCCAGCAACTGTCACCTGCATGTGGTTTGAATTATACAGAGTTTTCCTGTTGACTGTATATTCACGCTTTTGTAATAGTGTGTGTTTAATTTTCTTTTATAAACAACGAAAAATCAACCTTAGCATGACGTTTTTCTTAGAAAGTGTCAAAATGAACAGCCAAACTAAGCCTCTTAGCAACTATTATAACACGGCTGAGTTTGATTTGTCAATTTGGACCTTCCAGATGTTGCGGACAATGTGCAGTGATACTGTATCACTCCGCAGAAAGAAGTCCGGTCAATTTAACAGCAGCTGTGGCCAAGAGATATTCGTTTTCTCCATCAAAAAACACATTGGATTACTTATATACTATACTATATTATTTGTTATATTTGTGGAGAGCATTGGATTCATGACGGCTAAACTGTCCCAAGTAAAAAAAAGAAAAAGAGAACAAGAGAAGGAAAGAGGTTAAAAGACAGAGCGCTGGACGTCAGAGAATCAACAGAAGACAAACAGGAAGTAAACACTAACAGGAAAAGCAGAAGAAGACAGACAGGAAGAAAGACGGATACAGAAAACCTTTTAAGTTACGCTGTTGGTTCGCAATGGAACCGACTATTAGATAACTTAGAGGAAGCAAAACCGTTTTTTCTTAAAGCAACACAATAATTTCTGTATCCATATCGTGAGTCGAGTCGTTGGTTTATTTAGTGTGTAACCATGTAAATATCGGGATGAAAGTTGCAGCCAGGCGGTCATTAATTGAAAAAAGAACACCGGCAGGTTGAGCAGGATCTGGACACTAAGCAGACTTTGTTCTTTTTTCGTGAATGATCGCCTAGCTGCACATTATCCCTCTACTTATCGGAAGTGTAGTTGCTACACCACATTTCCAAAGATGTAAACAATAACCCTAACCCCTTTTACAATTCCCCCCCCCGTCCCCCTTCCATTCTTACGTGTCTCGCAGCCGGGCCCCATGAGTCCGGCGGGACACCCACAGCTCCCCGTCTCATGGTGGCAGGACACCCCGGCCTGGCAGTCACACGGCTGGGCACAGGAAGCACCGTGGGACCCCGGGAGGCAGTCTGAGAGCGGACAAACATCACTCAGTTTACTCTCACGATCAAAGCAGACCACTTTAATATCCGTTGCCACTTCCTCGGTGCTTTACACACTCACGTTTGTCACACCTGGCCCCCCTCCAGCCTGGCTCGCACTCACAGAGGCCCGTCACATGGTGGCAACTCGGACTATGGACGCAGTCACACCTCTGCTCACAGCGCTCTCCAAAGAATCCCTTAGAACAGGCTTCAGACAGAACACACTCAATCAGAAACAACATCAGAGCTACACTTAGCTACACATAGTTTACTTAGTTATGCTTTTCTACCCAATGACTCCTAGGCTCTACATGCTCCTCAGAAATGTTGGAATATCTAGCAAAGATGGAAATCTCTGGGTCGCAAGTTGACTGTGTAACAGATTATATTTAATACTGTGTGTTTAAAAAATGCTTTTGAAATGGGGATTACTAGCATGTTTACAATGTAACAAAACATTTTAAAATAAACATAAATATATGAAAGTAAGACGTTATTTAGGCTACTTTCATTCTTCTTAAATTGTACTTAACTGCTTTTTTAAACAAAAATACTTTTAATTCAAGTTTTAAACTGAAAATAATGTGTGGGTCCAGCCTATAATTTAAAAGGACATATATTTGATACTTAATATATTAATTTCCTCTTTTCTATGGTCACATTGTTCTGTTGTCTTGCATAATACTTAAGTAAACACTGTTGTATTGACATTTCTTGTATTTGTTTGCATTGCACTTTATATTGAGGCAATCCAAAAGCAGTGGAAAGTAATCAGGTTGCATTACTCTCAAACTCTGATTGGGTTAGATCAGGAAGTCACCTGACTGACAGAGGTCTCCCGTCCATCCATGCAGACACACACATCTTCCTGTCTCTCCGTCACACCTCCCCCCACTCGTACAGCTGCAGGTCTGACTGCAGTTCTCTCCAAACCGTCCTTCCTCACACTCTAGGAGAGAGGGAGAGGAAACCTCAGATGGAAGTTGCATTCAAGTAATTATTTATTCTAGTGAAAACAAGTAGTTTGCCCTTTAGTATTGTTTTCAATCATTAATATTACACACCAACAGTTGCACATGCCCACAATATAACATACAATTATAGCTATTTACACAAATACAAATAATAATGGAAACAAAATTCAGTTAGGAGCTGCATTCCTATAAGTCTGTTTGTCATGACGGCTCCTTTTACTAAATCAGTTGTAATCTGTATTCTTCGTCATGATTTGATTCCTGATCAGTGTTGGGCAAGTTACTTCCAAAATGTAATACAGTACATATGACTTATTACTGTCTTTTTTAAGTAATAAGTTACATTACAATGTTACTGTCTCTGAAATGAGTTACACTACTTTTATATTACTTTTGAGTTACTTTACCAAAATTAACCGCAAAATAATGGCTAGGTATTTTAAATGCTAAAATGTAGTTTAGTGCAGCAACTGTGTAGAACCTAAAGGCTACTAACAACTTGTATTACACGGCTTAGTTGAATACTCGATTCTGAAAATTTCAAAACACGTGAAACGTTGTTAATCCAGTAGTAGGCTACAGACCGCTGTCAGGGACTGTAAAGACCGTTGCTAAGGAGGATCAAGAAAGAGAAAGGAAAAGAGGTTAAAAGATGGACGTCAGATAAATCATCAGAAGAAGGCAGAGAGGAAGTAAACACTAACAGGAACACGGAATTGGCTCTGTAGTGTTTAAAGACTTGTTAGTGGATCAGAAACTGTGAACAGAGTTGAGTAAAGTTGTTGCTGTCGCAGTTCCGGCCGTTAGTGAGCCGTGGAACAGAGTTTTTTTTTCTTAGCGGAAGAAATACGATCATTTTAAGTCAATAAAATCATTTCTTTCAAATCAATTTTGTGGCTTTCATCACATGCCATGAAGTCGCTGGAGAGGCTGGTCCTTAAACACCTCCGTACAGTGGTCGCACCATCACTAGACCCCCTGCAGTTTGCATATCAGCCTCGTATTGGAGTGGAGGACGCCATCATCTTCCTGCTGCACAGAGTACACACACACCTTGAGAAGGCAGGCAGCACTGTGACAGTCATGTTTTTTGACTTTTCCAGTGCTTTCAATACCATCAGACCTGCCCTGCTCAGCAGTAAGCTACTGGACATGCAGGTGGATGCTCCACTGGTGATCTGGATAACCAACTATCTCACAGCTCGGCCACAGTACGTGAAGCTGCAGAATAACACCTCTGACATTATATTGAGCAGCACGGGCGCTCCTCAGGGCACAGTCCTCTCTCCCTTCCTGTTCACAGTCTATACATCAGACTTCAGACACTGCTCACAGTCCTGCCATCTGCAGATTGAGTCTGCCATTGTGGGCTGTATCATCAGAGATCAGGAAGCTGAGTACAGGAGTGTGGTGGAAAGTTTTGTGGAGACGCGTCCCTGCAGTTACGACAGGTCGCACCCTTCTACGGTCTTTTACGCTCGTCCTTCCTGTTGAAATAGGGTTAAACCCGGAAGGTTCCCCTCGTTTGCCTTCCTCACCTCCACGTAGTAGTTAACTCGTCCGCTCTTCCTCTACGTATTGACATCCCTTTGTGGGGACTTATGCCACCGAAATTTTGGTGACTCAATGTTGTAAACACAACCGGACGGTGTTAAACACGAAGGAAACCCATTGTACCAGGTGACGAAAAAAGAAAGAAAAAGCAACTTTCCGTCATATACTTAACTTTACTTTTTGCCGACCGGCACCTCTATTCATCGCTTGGTAAGTTTGGAAGTGGGCTAAAAGAGTTCGTACTAGTGACGCTGTCTTTTCTTCTCTTTACAGCGTTGTCGACGTTAGTCTGGAGGCAAGATTAATTACTTTTGTCTTTCTGCGTATAAAAACTCAGCTAGAGAAATCACTGTTTAACACCCTAGATTTTTATTAGGACCTATTTGTCAATAAAAAGGGACGAGTGCGAACTGTTTGGTTATAATGTGGGTCATCACCCTTTCCGAGCAGGTAGGAGAACGAAGACCGTCTCCTACCTCCGAGGATACAAATGTTTTGAGAGGACTCACAGTTCCTGGGTGTGTGAATTTGTGAGAGCGAGCACCACCAACCCCTTACCCTTTGTTGTGACGCCCGTAGAGGTCGCTATGACATCCGAACACCACCCCCCTCCCCCTCGTGTCATTGGACCGAAACAAAACATACACCACCCACGCAAACGCCCTAGCCCCGCACCCGCGAGCCCAGTCCCCCCGTGGTGCAGCGGCGGCCGGCCCCCGGACACAACTGAGGTCGTCCAGGCGAGATTTATGGTCGAGGACACGGGGGGGGGGGGGAAGTGATTTTCCCTTATTGGATGTGCGGAAGCACCGAAACTCCCCGGGTCAAGTGGCGCTGTACACCCGGTTACTTCGAGTGAATTGCTTGCGTCTGGCGAGCGTATACTTGCGGCGTCGTACCATGACGTTAACTATAACCATAAAGTCATCACCAGTTCTGTCTCGCCCTCTTATCTTCTCCTCTCTCTCTTTCTGTATTTCTTTTTTCTATTTCTTTCAACCGTAGGCTCAGAAAGGGAGAGGAGAGACACAGTCCGACGGGTCAGATTGGTATCCCTACAAAATAGAGCCGGGTGTCACAGGGCGCTGCCGAAAATGCCAGGAACTGACACCGGTCTACACACTCACGTCCTTGCCACGGCGACGGTGGTGTAGTTGCCTCGACGGACGTGGCGGCCGACCCGTCCTGGTGGACGTTAAGGACCCATTACCTTCTGTGTAGTAATTTTTGCCCCACATCCCTCCGGGAGTGACGTCGGGTAGTGCTGTAGGAGAGGTTAAAAAAAAAAAATGGAATTGTGTTTGATCCTACACAAACACTTGTTAATAGAGATTATTACTCTGTGACCGGTTTACTGAAAAAAAAATCCCTACACATTCCCAACGGGGAGTCCGAGTGCCCAATTGACTCCAGATAAGACCTATTTACGTTGGGTGCCACAACCACCGTCGCTAGTGTAATCCCTATTCGTATGGGAAATCGTCGATGGGATAGTGTCGCAAGCGTACGATGTCAAAGTACGGCAACAAATACCTAGGTCACTTTAACGGGTGAATTCCTAGAATGACCGACAGTAACAGCGGTGAGATGCGTTCTGAAGGAGAACGGTGTCAGTAACACCAGGAGTGGTATGCTCTCGTTCTCAGGTCGTCTTTCGGTGAGCTTACTGAATTATCGTAGAGACGTTAATCCGTGAAAAGGAGAGAATCTGAGGTTCAGTAGAACCTGAAACTAGTAATTGATTGTTCACACACACATTTTTAAGGAGAATCGGGAGACTAGAGTATAGTCACACTCTTAATGATTTCATGTAAATCGTTCATGGCATGCTATTTCATTAACAAATTTATCTTTCAACATGAAATGAACTTATAATTGTAAAAAACGGTGAATTTGAAGATGGATTGCAACGCTCCCTCTCTTTATATCCGCAAAATTGAGGTATGAAATGTAATGTTTTTTTCTATGTATATATAAGTAAGTATCTTTAAACCAAGACCTAGGCAGGGACGTCAAGGCGTATGTACATGTATATGTTTGTATCATCTGTATTCTCTGTATTGTGTCATGTAGTGAGTATGTGGCCAATGGTTTTTTTAGTGAAATTCATCACAATTGTAAATGTTATTATTGTTACCAAAACGAATATAAAATTTCAATGGTTTGATTTTGAGGTCTTTTTTTGATAAAATTTCTTTATAAGACGAATCAAGACTAAGAAATCCATGTAAATCGACTATTATGAGACAAGAAATGGATCTAAACTTTGTCATAAAAACTTGACGCCACAGTCTATAATTAGCCGATTGACCGTAGCATTCACTCCGACATTTTGCTTACATACACCTGCAAGTTTCATCTAAATCAAACAGATGTCTATATCCCCACTTTATGTGTTCATAGTATTACACCTTTATGCTCCTGTTCATGGAAGTACCAGATGGATTTCATAGTCATGTGAACTCATTTACGGGACGGACGAGGGGACAAACGGAAATAAACAAACAGTAAATTTCCACTTATACTCACACACACAGAGACATAAAGAACACACACACATCGCATCCCAGGGCCCCCATGAAAACCCCTCGCCACGGTCAGTGTGGACACTCACACTCGCCACCCAGGTCCACACTGGGGTGCAGTCGGCCTCCCCACGTTCACACGCCGAGGCCGTACTGACCTCAGGCACCGTTGTACGCACTCAAAAGTAAGGAGTCGACTAGTAGCGAGTGCCACATAGTTGAGTCGACAGGTAGTGGTAGACACATAGTGAGTCGCACATGTGAGTCGTACTGTTTTTGTGTGTTGTCTTTATACCTGTCGACAGGAAATTACGTTATGGGTCGCCCAAACTATAAAATAATCGGTGTTTAGTGCAAATTTAGTGTTGAAGGTACAATGTTTCGTGCGACTACCAAACGACGGTTGTTCCATTGTGAGGTCGTCACATTTCATTCTTTATTGTGAAATGACCATAAAATGTATTCATGTCGACAACTTACATGAAGTGGACTCATACAATCACATGAAGTAATGTAAAATCTTTCTATAAAAACCTCAAATTGAGAGATGTCAAGAGACCTTTGTCGGAAATCAATGGAAGTCTAAGGACTAATAATCGTTTATGTTTAATGATAATTTGATTGTTAGTTTGATTCACACACACACCAACACAACACACACCACACCACACACACAACCCACACACACAAACACACACACACCCCACCACCACACACACACACACACAGCCCACACACACACACACACACAACACAACCACCACCACCACCACACAACACACCACACCCACATCGGACAGGCCGTCCCATAATGCCGACGTTGTAGAGACCGTACAGACACACCTTTGCCTCCGAGGGACACTATCGCAGTCACGTCACGAGGAGGGGGGCGACGCTCTCCTCGATGGACACTCAGTCCACTCAGATGTCTTCGAACGTACACCATTGTATGTGATCCTTGTTTTCCGGTTTAATCTCTGTCGTTCGTATAGACCCTAGTTAATCGGAGAGTCATTTTTTTTGTCTACTATCGTTACCCCTGACAGGGGTCATACTCCGTAACCACTGTTTCTTTCCGTCTCCGCACATGAGAATTATGTCCACTCCTTCCCCCAGGAGTAGGGGCGAGACTACTAAGGACTGAACTATCGGCGGGATGTCCGGGAGACCTCGTTATTGTGTGACAGTAGTCAGACTTTATTTTTATACATAATTAGTCCTGTCACAACCCACTTAATAATTGAAAAACGACATTTGTTTCATTACTCTGCGTAATGGTTCTCTTTACACCAATTTATAATGCGGCAATGTTAAGAGTCATTGCGGGCCACGTTGGTAAAATTGGGCTGACTTTACCACAACCAAAAATTCTAAGTGTTTTGTATCGCTGCTGTAAGGGCGTCTTTCTCTTTGGAACCCCATCTAAATCATAGACCACAAATGCATAGTCCTCCGACTAAACTTACTCGGACTTGCCACATGAAAAAGGGTATTCCTGGTTCGCCGAGCGTGGCATAGGGCGAATATACTTGCCGGTCTATGTGTGTGTTTTGATTCCTTAGCTGAGGTTATGAATGTAACTTTACTAAAATAACTGAATTTTACTTACAAAAGAAGGCGATTGTCTTTTTTCTATTCTATTCTTATTCTGAATAAGTAGGGTTTCCTTTTGACATGTGATTTTCACGCGTTTTCTCGTTATATTTGTAGGTGTCTGCGTATTTGCATTCTTTCGTATCGTTCAGGGGTGTTAGGTTCACGTTAATAATAATCGTATAAAATCAACAATCATACACGTTTTTAATTTTGCATCACCGCAATGCATTAACGGTGCAATAGTATCGTAATAATTTATTATGATACTATTATTATATGTTATTATTATAACGTGTATCAAATATAAATATATTATGCATATCGTCGCCTCCAACCATACACGGTGACTACAATTAATATAACTATACATATAACGTGTATCACAACCACACCTTCAAGAGTCCAACGGGAAATGGAATCCCCCACTTTCCTCAATCTTCCTCAAACTAACGGTGACCCCTCCTTTCTGGAGGACAACCGCGACACACCACCAATCACCCACTAGAGTCAGATACCGACTTTCACGAGGCCATCCTTTTGGTCACACCGTACGTCCCCCACTTCTGGGCAACAGGTCTTACGACTCTTCAAAGGAGTCGAAGAAGGGGAGGACCTGAGGGTGACGGTTGCTGAGGACTAGGCGAGGATCCTGTGTCCTCGGACCGAGAGGACTACTCGAACAACTCAGACCAACCCGTAGTCGACGAAGTGGGGCTACGGGGTTGTGTGATGTCGTTTTCTTCTAGTGTGACCCTCTGGTTGGCTCAGTACTTTGTAAGACCGTGTAATTCCACGACGTCTGCAATTTCCTGGACTCAGAGAGACTCCTTTATGTCCGCTGGACCGGAAAGAATAATATCCGACGGAGTCACAAAATGAGGTCAGGTCAAAGTAAACAGATACACCTCTGGGTCCTTGAACATCGACAGGTGTTACAGGTGTAGGTACGGGGTGCTTCCATTAACCCGCGAACCCCGTCCATGAGGCGAAGGACTTAATTGGTGGTCGAGGATCTCAAAAACACTGCAACTCGACGTCTATCAAGACT